AGTATCAGATTCAATGAAACCAAAGGCTAGACTAGTTCTAATAGCTTTAGGATTTCTGACAAATAAGATGTACAGTAATACGCAAGCTCCAACATTGTTCGATATTCAGCTGTCGGCCGCTGCAGCTTGGTATTTGGCGGAAGCTAATAAGGAGTATATCACAATGAAAACCCACGTAAGCAGATAGTGGTATTTATGAAGTATTAAGTTGCATTCAGGAACTTTTGTATCATCTAGCAGATGTGAACAAACTTTTTGGAAACACCGGGTTATTATATGCATTCAGCTTCGAGAGCTTCTATCACCAGTTGGTGTGCTCTCTGAAAAGCTCTAAAGCTGATCGAATTTTCGATAATTTTCCTGGTTTTCATGCAATTTTTGACGATTTGCCGGACTTTTGTAAAGAAAAACTTCAAAATCGATAAAATTCGTCGAAAAATGTTACTTCCTTCGAAAAAAATCCGGAAAATCGCAAAAAAAAGCAACGAAAACTATCGAAAAATGTCTAAAATTCACCGAAAATCGGAAAGAAAAATGGGCCAGGAAATAGTTACAGAAATGCATGCTACTTTAAGGATTTCGCTTTCATTTCGAGCATTCTTGCTCAGAACGATGTCATCAACAACGAAAAAAGTCAGAAAAACAAAATAGGTTACAGAGAAAAATCCATTCTTTATAAAAAAAACAAAAATCATTTATTTTTTTTATTTCTCAGCAATTGCAGACTTCTTCGAAACAAACTCCCTAATCGACGCAGTCATTATCGTTGAGCCTCCTGACGATCCTCCTTTCACACTTTTCTGGGTCTAAAACCAAATTCCAAAATTATTAAAATCAAATTTTCAAATTCTCTTCTCACATCAACAACATCTGCATTTACTCCAACTTCATACACCAGAATCTCATAATTTATCTGCACATTTCCTATTCGAACTTTTTTCTCGATTTGCTGATCCACAAAAATCTGAAATTTCCTCGTTTTTCAGTGGGGCGCGTTTGCAATATATAAAACTTACATCCTTATCAGCTACGTTATGAGTTGTAATGGTGATCGGACCCATTTCTTTATGATTGATTTGCTCCTTGAAATCGTCTGGGACCGGAGTCCATTCTTCTTGGCAGTGTGCCTAAAATTTGCAGTTTTTTTTAAACAGTAAAGAAATTATACCGGAATTCTCCTCTCATCAGATTTCTTATCCTTCTTGTTGACGTCTTCTACATATTTCGTGTCCTGCGTTCCATCCGCAATTCCTTGAGGTGGAGATTCTATTCCATGGGTTTCATGGGTTTCAATTTTAACTTCTTCATTTGGTTTCATCAATCTTTTCCAAGAATTCCGAATCGCAAGAATCATGAATCCTATGAACCATGACAAACATAAATCTACAGTAATCAGAAACCAAAACAGGATTAAAAATTCTCTGAAACCGTCCTCTAAGTTCTCAATAGAGCGAGTTTTCATACCTCTCACTGTCTTCATCGTACTTGAAAATTTTCTCCGTTTCAGTAGTATTTTCGTATAAAGTGGTACTCTCTTGACATTTTCCAACCCCAAAAAGAATCAAAATAAATGGTAAAGTCTTTATAGAATTCACTGGAAAGTTGAGAATTTGGTTTTCAGAGAAACTGGGAGGGGACCTACTATTAGGAAAATTTTAGTAGGTAAGGAGGAGAAATAGTTGCTAAATGAGCTCAAAATTAATTTAAGTCAATGAGGGAAAACGTGGATTTTTATTTGTGTTGGAAAATCATTTTTAAAAGTAAGTAACGTTGGCCTAATTGAGATTGATTTCAATTTCCTTTAAAAAATGTGTTACCACACTTTCTCTAAAGTACATTTTGAGCTCAATTATCTCGGTTATTTCGAAAGATATTTAAAAATTGTCAACTGATAAACTATTTATCATCATATGACCAATATTTTACCAGTTAACAGATTTTTGATATCTTTCATAGGAATCGAGATAATTGAGCTCAACGTTGACGGTTTGGGTGGGATTCTATTATAGAAAAATCGGAATTGAAATCGCAAAGGAAGAGCTGAGCAACTATAATAGGATTTAGTCTAGAATAGAGATAAAATTCGAAAAGTTTTAAAGTTAACGAAAATTGCTCATTAATTCTAGACCAATTTCAGGATATATCTCATTTGGACACTTTAAGTGGAGGAAAGTCAACTTTGAGTGCCTACAAAAATAGTCTAGAACTTTTCGATTTGTCTGAAAACATCAGAGAATACTTAACAAAGGTAGAGCTTCAATTTTGTAATTGACAACTTTTTTGTACAAAATCACTATAGCGAGATACGCGGATTTAAAATGGAATTTTCGAAAAAAAAATATATCTCGGAGACGGCCAAACGGAATTAAACACCCTTAAATGCCAAAACTTTTAGAAATTAAACGAACAAATCCAAAATCTTTAAAAGAGCCTATCTTATTGTTTCCAAAAGTTTCCATTAGGAAGTTGCATATTTTTAGCCTATAAGAATTATTCCTGAATGCACCGATAAACCTGAAAAATGCTGTAATTATTTTGAACTTGACACCTTTTTTGTACGGTTTCATAAAAAATTGACCCATTATGATTTAAAAGTGCAGATCTCAATTGGATCTACATAATTACAGGGCGCACAATTAGCCGGACTGTTAAAAAGGGTTAGGGTTTCCATTTGGAGGGAGATTCACCCGCCCGCACCCGCCAGGGGGGCTCACCCCCCGCGGCCCCCCGTTGGCCCCCCGCGATTATTTAAATGAATAAAATTTTATCTTTTTCGCTGTTTTTTGATTTCAGAAACTCTTTTTTTTGGAAAATGGCGCTACCTCGAAATAGAACGTAAGCAAAATAGAACTGCGTGAAAAAGAACTGTTCTCTTTCCTCTACGTTACAAGAGAATATGTTTTTCTGTTTCATCACTACGAAAAAGGAATTTTATGTCACATGTTTATTAAATTTAGGTAACGTGGAAATAATAAGGTCGTATAAAGGATACAGACACATACAACCGAGTGTGGCAACTCACACACACTCGGGAAGGAATCAAGCAATCAAGCAATAATATTACATGATAATGGAATTCGGGGAGAAAACGGGAGATCGAAATAAAGAATATTGAGAGATCAAGAGAGAATTTGAGATATAGAGCATGATATGAGAAGTTAGTAACACAACCAAAACAACTAGTAGAACAAACAAAACAACTAGAAAAGCTATAAATATTACAAGATTATTTCTCTTCGTCATCCTCGTCATCTGATTCTGCCTGAGACTGTAGACATCCTTGAACTGTTGGAACATCAGTGAGATACCGCTGAAGTCCTGCCGCCGATCTCCATCTTCCTCTGCATTGAATTTCCTCCATTGAATGCCCGATTCTCCTCATGTGGTTGGCTCCTCCTCTTCTGAAACAGTGATGAGTCGCTCCCGACTTCCCGATCGCTGCCAGCATCTTCGTCGAGAGCGTCGAAATGGCTTGTTTCGAGAGCTTCTTCGAGCCGTCCAGATGCGAAAAAACGTATGGGCACTTTCCTTTGGTCCGGAGTCTCCATCGGCACATCAAGATGTCCGCATCACTGCCTGGCTCGTAGTTGAAGAACGACGATCTTCCGAGTCTCAACTGATCATTCTTTGCCTTCTCTACATGCACCTCAATCATCCCGTCCTTCTGTGTTACTCCTGCCCACTTGATCTCAGCTGCTTCCGATGCTCTTAGCATGACATTGAACGATAGAATTGCCAGCAACGCATCTCGATCCCTCTCCGGACTGTCTTCTTTCATTGCCAACATTGTGATCTTCTGCACATCCTCCATAGTCACCTTCACTACTTCTTTCTTCAGCAGGCTTTCCTCTCTTCTTTTTGACTTGATGATGTTTGACACAAAAGACGCTCCGATGGTTGAAATTCCTTCGTTTGCTGTTTGATAGGCAGCCGAGATCTTCGCCAAAGCACTACTCCCGATTTTCTTAGCTCTGTCCAACAAGTATAACAAAAAACGACGACTCATCCATTGGAAGCTTCTTCTGAGAAATCCACGAATTTCTCTTGTCGTTCTCTGCCTTGACACGTAGATTGATTTCGAAATTCGAGCTTCATGGTGTCTGCCCAGCATTTGCCCCTCTGCGCGCCGTTGGACTTTTGCCCAACTTCTGCCCAGCTTTAGATCAAAGTCTGCCTGCAGCCCAATTCATCCAACTTCTGCCCCAAAGTTCCCCACATTTACCGAGTTTCTTCCACCCGCCCAAATGGAAACCCTAAAAAGGGTATATCTTTGGACATAAGTATCTTGGAAGCACGAAAATAAGTAGAAATGTAATTTTACGTTTTATTCAAAGCTACTGAAATTTTCAAAGAGATTTCTCAAATCTAGGTAATGTTATGATTGTTCAAAGATGCCGTTGTGATTTTCATGAGATGAAGCAACTTTGACAAGCGATAACTCAGCTCAAAGTTGATCATATAATTTCAAACTTGGTCAGTTTACTGTTGAATATTCTGAGTTTTCGAACTTCAGATTTGAACCAAGTATTGTCGCATTAAAAAAAAGTGAAACCTGAAAATCTCGGAGACGGCGCTCGTGTCGATTTACGAGGGGGCGGAGCGAAAACGGATAATGTAGATAACAAATTTATTCATGTGAATTTAGTGGGATTTTCTGAACAAAATTTTGATTTCTTGATATAAAAATGATCGCTAGCATCTCTAGAATCTATTTTTAAGCAAAAAACTAAAATTAAACACGAAAGTAGCTCGAACAAGCCGAAATTCTGAAATATTACGTTTTTCCCGCACTTTTTCGTAGATAAAAAAAGCAAAAGTTTTCAAATTCTCAGGTGCCACTTTTTTTAATTCGACAATACAACGCTTTACTCAAATTTCATGCTAGTAAAAACTTCATTCATTCTGAACTTTTCCAGTGGTTTGTATGATTTTCTTTTGCAGAAAACCATTTTTATCATGCCGTAACAACTTTTATTTCTCAAAAGACATTGAAAAAGATCTTGAAATCAAAAAATTCGAGAAAATGGATAAAACAACAGAAACTAGAAACTGCATCAAAATGTGTGTCTTTTTGTCTACTTCTATTCCAATTAAAAAATATCCAAAAAAGTGCCAAAAAATATGAGTGAAGAGAAGGGGATATTTGACAAGAGAATTAGACATGATAGAAAAAAGAGTGAACCCGTAAAATTTTAAAATTAAGAAAATAGAAAAAGGCAAAATCTTTTGTTTTGTTTTTTAGGATTTTTTGTTGAGAGAAGTTTCTGGACCCGGATAGTAGAGTGGAATTAATCGGGGGAAGGGTGGGCGGGGCTTAATCTCATCGGGATGAATCAATTATAGGGATAACCAGTATATAAGAGGTGGTGATGGGATGATGATGGTGTCATAGGCAAGTCATGGAAAAAAATGGAAAAAAAAGAAAAATAAATGTGGTAGTACAAGAAGACAAAATTAGATTATAATGACAGAGGGAAAGAGAGAATAAATATGAAGAAAAAGAAAAGCGATTATATAGAAAATAAGAGAAATTTTTGGAATCATTTCCAAATCAATGAAAATTCAGGCGACGTGACGATGGCACATACGCCGTCTCCTTTTCCTCGTCCGACTCATCGACGGCTCCACGTCCCCAACGACGTTGTTGCTGACGGCGAGTGCTGTTGCCACGTGGCGCACGATCCAGGGGTACTGTACCGTAGCGTTGAGAGAAGAATGGAGAATTGGAGGGGGATTTCAGGGAGACGTTGACAATGTAGTTTTGGCCATCGTTGTTATCCCAGAATTCTTCTCCAGCCACTTGGTATTGCACACAGAATTCGCATTTTCCTTCCTGGAGAAAAAAATAATTATAAAAGTTATTAATTTCCAAGGATTAGCCACTTACCGTAAGTTTGACCGGAATGACAATAGTGAAATTGAAGGCGTCAATGTCTTCGGTGGCAAACAAGCGATGGCTATAATTGGCCACAATCTGATCCTGTGTCTCCCATCCATTCGTCGTGTACCGTACCACTACAACCTTATCAAATGCCACATTCAGCAGATTGACCTGTCCAACAATACTGCTTCCAGATGCGCGAAGAGCCGAGACGCAGACTCTCGATTCGCGGGTTTTCGATTGGTATTCATGTTCGGATCGGTATGGGAAATTGTGGAGAACAAGACGAGGTGCCGGTTGATTGATCAATGTCTTTGGAATGAAATTATTCGGGAATTGAGGGATTGGAGAAGAGGAAGATGGTACTGATGAGAAGTGAATCGAGAATTGTTGCTCGGCGGCTTCCTTCACAAAGTACTGTAGATTCTCGAGGTCCAATCCCAGCGAGTCGGCAAATCGAACACGTTTCACACATTGCTTGGATCGGCTGCGTCGGAGAGCGGATGGAAGGGTTTTCGAGCGAGTACTGAAAAAAAAACCAATTTAGTATAATGTGTAATAAGAATAGGTCAGAGACCATCTAACTCCAGGAATATATTCCCTTGAATCCTCCTCTTCAGAATCACTAGAAGGGATCCATAGGGGTTCGTTACTAGTGGGTCTATAGAATTGGACTAGAGTCTTGTCAATCGGCTTAGACTTCATTCAGGGCTCCATGACCTCCACTACCGGTGAGGAGGGTTTAAATAATTGGGGTTCACCGCTGGACACCACGTGTCCTTTCGGAAAATTCGCGAAAAAAAGGTGAATGTACTATGATAAGAAGAAAGCGAGAAGTATAGAATGAGACACAGCTATCTGTGTCTCAAAAATTGCGACTTGCATGTCTCACGTATCACCGCCTTTTGCTATGGACTTTTTCTTCCAGAGAAGAGCAACAACCAACTGACGTCAGATTCTGTGTCCCACTTGTTTATCTTTAAAAGTGGTGAACCCGTCAACAACCAATTTTTCTGGGGGTGATTTTGAATTTCACTTATCATCACGAAACGGAACAAAAGACCACAGAAAGCAAAGTTTTTTTAGAAGACATGGGGAGGAGAGATAAGGCAATAAATCATATGGTTTCCGATTCTTTCTATGTAAGGTAGGGTAAACAAGTACCACAAAGTGATAGAGGGGTGATGCGCGGTTGATAACACCCGTAGTTTCTAGGTGATTCGGGAGAAAAAGAGGAAGAAAATAGAAGATGAGAAGAGGGATGAAACTTAGCCGACCGACAGCCGACCGAGCGACCGCCGACGGACCGCCGGCGGACCACCGACGGACCAACGACGGACCAATGAGGGACCAACGACGGATCACCGATGGATCACCGACGGACCATCGACGGACCATTGACGGTCCGCGCCGACCGACCGCGCCGACCGTCCGCCGACCAAGCCGGCCGATTTTTTGCATTTCCATATTCCAGTGTTTGCGTAAGCAATATTTTATTTTACGACGCGTTTCGTGAATCACAATACAAAAATTCGGCCAGCGTGGTCGGCGATCGGTCGGCGGTCGCCGATTTTCGACCATGGACGCCTTATGATTTATTTCAATTTGGTTCTTAATGCTGAGCAATCTACAGTATCCCCAAACTCACAGTCTTTCACAGAACGAGACGTCGGATGCAATACTATCATCTGATGAGAATCCGGAATCCGGTGAGTTGGGTTCGGAGCAGCACGAATCGTCGAAATATGTGGATTTGTTATTGTTGTCATTGGAGCACACTGGCTCGAGGAGCAGCTTCATGGCGCCACGTGGATTTGGGCTGCTGCTGGCGAGGAGCATTTCCAGAGAGTGGGGTGCTGAAAAGAAGAAGATGAGGGAAGTCACGTAAATGGAGAGAAAAGGACAAGAAATAGATGAAAGAGAAGAAAATGAGAAAGATGTCTTTGAAGAATAAAAGAAGAAGAAGAAGAAATCAGCTACAGTATATCACTATCAAAAGAATAAGAAGAAGAAGAACAGCCACCTTCTTCTTCTCCTGATAAAACAGACACTGTTTATACAGGAGGTACTACGTGAAGAGGAGGGGCATTTGCACCCAAAAATAACAAAAAAAAGTGGTGTTTTTAATGACTGCTGCAACCAAAACCATCTCGTCCCGCCTCTCGCTTCTTTTCTCCACGTTTCTCTTCTTCCCGCGCCAACGATTAAAGGTTGTTTTTGAGAATGGGCGGGGTGGTAGATCAAAAATTCTGAAGGAGGGTTTCGCGGGGGGCGGAGCTTCATGCACTCGCGCTCTTTGAAGTTTTATTGAGGTTTTGAATGGTCAGATGGGGGCGGGGGGGGAGAGACAGAGAAGCAAAGAAGATATTGAGATTAGTTTATCAAGGAATTTTATGGGATCGGTTGGCATTGAGAACATGGAAAAAACAAATAGGAATCTTGCATGGAAAATCGGATATAAAATTTATGGGAAATTGGCGAGTTCAAGGCCGGAAATTCGATCATAAGAAGAAGGATTTGACTAGGAATTTATGATATGGGATTCTCCTAAAACTGGATTATATCAAAACTACCTAAAATCATAAATTAATTTTTTTGGGATTTGGGATACTGTAGAGATCAATATTCCTTTTTTGGTATACTGTATACTTCCTAAAAAAGAGCCAAAAAAGCATAGGCCATTTTATCTAATGACATTTTCAGGTTAACTACCATTTACTATTTTCTGTAAATTCAGCAAAAAAATTTCGAATTTTCCTGACCACCTGTTATTCTTACCAAAATACCGGAACACGTGACATTAATGGTTTGGTCTTCTGTTAAGGAAAAACCTCGCTGAATGGACAATAATTTTCTGGTAAACAGATAAAAAAGACCCAGCAGTTGAATACGTAACACAGAAAGAGAGAGTGAGCCTGTGTCTCTTTGGGGTCATCTAGATGGTGGCCACGTCATCGAGACTGGCTGTTCGAATGGTCCCGATTGTAAACTATTCTAATGGCTGGGAAGAGGTGAAGGAAGGGGGTAGAAGAGAAGAAATATACATAATCTATTGGAGATGTAATGGAGGGATAAACATAGAATAAGAGCGATATGAGATTAGGATCGTCTGAGAGAAGAAGGGAAGAATAGGTAGGATAGGATATTGTCGGGAATATTAAATTGTCTTTGATTTATGTATTTTTCGGTCCATATGTACCCAACAAGTTTGCTAAGCGGCTCAAAAAAGTTGATAAGCAGCTCAAAAGTACCGAATATCTTATTTTGGCGTTTCAGGAGAAAATAGATAACTTTAGAGTCCAAAAAAGTTATTCCAAAGTTTTCCTACTGTTCTAAAAACTTCTGATCATACTAAACAAAAGTAGAGCTTCATTTTTGAAATTGACAACTCTTTTGCTAAATTCCATTCAGATGAGATATAACAGTTTGTATCTGAAAAGGGCAAAAAATGTCTGTTTTTTTTTAATCGAATCATCTCACTTTGAGCCCATATATGTATATGTATCTTGGTTTCTATGAGATATACAGTGTTCCTTGTATCAAAACCTTGTCAACTGATAAAATAATGGTGATATTATGATAAATAATTCATCAGTTAACAGATTTTTGATATCTCTCATAGGAGCCGAGATATGTGAGCACAAACTGTACGCATAAGATATGCTTCTTTTAGAGCAAATACGGCTTTGCAGGTACTGTAGCTCAGAACTATTCGAACTACCTTTTCAGCCTTTTTATCTTCCTATTCTATAGGTGTTTTAATATAGGTTGTAGTGGTATATTCATAGTTTCTACCCAAATTTTTGTCTCTTGTCCTCTTCATTATCAACAGAGACAAGAAGACAACATCATGCAAATTTTCTCTCCTAATTTTCAAAGATCGTAATAGTTTGTGACAGGTGTAGAAGACCGATCTGGAACTGGAAAATAAAGGGATTTGAAGCTATGAAGAGGAGAAATAGTTTCAGCTTTGTAAACAGTTTTGAATTTAGCTTCGTTTCAATGGTACGTTGCTCCAAAACCCTTATGTTAGGTCTTACTTCTAACTTTGAGCTCAATCAACTCGGTTCCTGTCAAAACTACAAAAAAGTTGTTGTCAACTAAGAAAATGTTAATCATAATATAGAACTCGAGATAATTGAGCTCAAACTTGACGGACCTCACAAGTGCACTTTGAACTCGCAATACACGGCGTACGTTGAGCTCAATTATCTTGGTTCCTATGGGAGACACAAAAAATTGTCAACTAATAAAATGCTTATCATAATATCAGAAGAATTTTGTTTGTTGACCCATTTTTAATATTTCTCATAAGAATCTAGATAATTGAGCTCAAAGCTATAGGGAAGGGTATCTTAAAACTCACCTCTTCTATTCAAAATCAGCAGTGAGAGTGCAGGGTCTCAATCAGACCAGAGTCACTTTCAAAAGTCACTTTTTGTGATAATGAAAGTCGGCAAAAAGCACTCAACAAATAGGCCACGCCCCTTTCTTTAACAGCTGATTCTCCCTCCGATACGAAAATGCCCCCAGCAGCCACAGGGAGCAGAGGCAATATTGCATCAGATACAGTAGATTCACGTGGACAACACATGGGGAGGGCTTTTCAGCATTTTGACAATCATGTGAAATTAAGAAGAAGAAGGTGAAACACTCGAATGTTGTTTTTTCTAAAGTTTTTCGGGGAATCCCCCCTAATCGGTTGTGACGGCGTTTTACCGACAAAGGGAGAAGAAAGAGATGGAGATAATTAGCTTTGCAATTGATCCACTGATTAGGGGGGTTTGTTGATTTGGAAGAAATCAGAGAAGATAATGGTGTGATTTGGAAGCGAAAGCATTGCGAATTGTTTGATTGGGAGAAGAGGAGGAATGAATCGGTGGAAGAGATTGATGACGGAAGATGATGTTGAATGTTATGGTGATGGTGGTGGTCAGCGTAGAGGAAGTGTGATGTGGGATGAAATCATTAGGTACAGTAACCCTCGGGAGTGGGGAGTATTATGATAAGGAGAAAGGGGAGCTGAAGTTGCTGAAGTAGTAGGAACAGAAGCTTTAGATAGCAAAAAGCAGAAGTAAAGGAGAGGAGAGAGAGAGGGGGAGAGAGAGAGAGAGAGAGAGAGAGAGAGAGAGAAAGGGGAACACAAAACCTCGTTTTCTAGTAGTATAAAACAAGGCTTAATCTTGCGGAAATTCAAGAACAGAGCTTAATTCTGTAGCTACCATAGAACCCGTATTAGAAGAGTCGGACGTATTGCTCCGAGGCATTTCCGAAGGTCTCCTCTGTTAGTGAGGCCCTTTTAATAGAGGTTTTACAGTATTTCCAAGAAATTCGCTTTATTATAAAACTTGCACCAGATTTGAAGGGTCTTCAGATCTTGGCTTCAATCTAGACCGGATATTCTCAAACCACAAAGCTTGAAATTTCTCAGCATCTGCTCCAAATGAACCAATTTTGGTTGCCGGCGGAGCTAAGATTTTTAGGAGCTCGCTACAAATTTCTAGGCCACACCAATGAAACCTAGGCCATCGTAAATAACCATATTTAGACCTGATCCGACTTCACAGAAAATGTTCAACTGAACACTCGTAATTCGTGACCCGATTTTCTTAGGCCAGCTGTAACTCGGCCACATGTGTTTTGTGCCATCTGGTACTTCACACAGGGCTTCCCCTCTCCCCCTTCTCGTTCTGAAAAATTGACTTCACGTGCATCCAATCTAGCTCTTCAATCTCAACTTTGATCCAAAAATATTTTCGAGGTGGATGTCGCAAAATTGACACATAGAGCCAGTTGGCGTGTCCCAGGAACACCTGACCCTAGTCCAGAAGATTCTGGAGCAAGAAAAAAGTCAGGCCACCAAAAAGTGGGCGGGGTTTGTTTTCGAAAAAAAGAAGCGGGAGAGAGAGGCTCAATTGGGGGTGCGTGTTCTTTGGAGCAGTGATTTTCGAGTTATAGTAACACCCTAGATGCTCATATTCTAGTTGAAGCTCTTGATGAGACTGTGCGTCTACAGTACCCACGGGGTACAGTAACCTAGGCTTACCAATAGAGTTCTAATTTCCTATCAAAACATGATATCACCTTAAAACCCGTTCCATTCGTGTCCTTAATGACCAAAACCGTCTCCTACAAGTGGAAGTTCAGAAAATGATCCGATCACCTAATCTTCTATCCTTTCTTTGAAAAAAGGGAAAGAAAAAATATACGGTATAGGCATCAGAAAACTATCACGTTTCACGTGAAACTCTCGCCTATAAAACCAGCGGAATACGGTATTATGCGCAATAAAAAAGGGTCATTGAGAGATAGAGGCGCCAAGGGGCTGGTGGTAGGCAATCACTATCAAAACATTGTCCGAACTGTTTGCAGAGACAATCAGTTAGAGATAGTGTGGATATTAGAGAGACGCATGCAGACCCTCCGCGTCAGTTGAATTTATCACTGTTTTCTTCGACCGTATCAATTCTGACAACGTCTTGTTCATTCACACCCCCAGCCACGGCGACACTTTTCAACACTGTTGATATAGATGATGGAGTAGGTGGCAAATAAGAAGACATCGGGCTGTGTTCATCATTATCAACCAAAAGTTATTAATTTGGGAGAACAAGAAGAAGAAGAGGAACGGGAAAAGAAAGAGAGAGTAAGAGAAGAGGAGAGAGTACAGAGAGACGAGAGTGTTTGCTTTCTCTGCGCTCTCTCCGTGTATACATAATACTCATTTCAAAGCGCTTTATCTCAAACTATTAGAGCTAGAGAAAAAAAACACAATTGCAAAAATGATCTAGATGGAATTTTCTATCCTATGGTCTAATTGAAAGAGTAAGGGAGAAGAA